TATCCAGTTGGAAATGTTAAACAGAACTCAAGCGAGAAATGGTAGCCAGGAGCTTACAACTGGAATTTATATCTTTGAGACTACAGGAGAGAATATAAGTATGTATAGACAGAAAATGAAACCAGGGGTTCACCAACATTTAACCATTGAGAAGAAAAGGAATAATCAGTAAAACAAACTAAGAATGAGCAGCCAGTGATTTAAGAGAGAAATTAATAGATAATTATTATGTCTTAATATTTACTGAAATAATTTATGCTGCAAATGTACTTATCATTTAATTGTACAACTACGTACAAGTGCATAGAGAAAAAATACGTTATATTCTAGAATATTAATAGGATTTGACTTCTTTTCTCTGGTTTTCTATTCCCCTACTGAGGGAAAATATTATTTGTATAGTGGAAAAGGGGGAGAATATTTAAACTAACACAAAAGGAAATAAAATGTGTTAAAATTTTATTTATGGAATTTATAGAATAAATATTTGCTGGGCTACCACTAATTGTGCAGTACATTGAAACACTAATATTTTGTGTGACAAAACTAAAAGTCCATCAAAAAAGCAAATGTAAATCCAGATTTGTTTTGTTTTTAAAATGTTGATATGGATCAATGTATAACTTGTATAATGGCTCATGTAATTTTTAAATGCATTACTTTTGTAGACAATGTGAATTCTTTAACTTAAGACATGGGTTATCTATCTCAAGAGATATTTTAATAACTTTCCTAAATAAGTTTTCTTGCTGAATCTTGTTTAGTGTAGATGTAAGAGGAAAGAATCTCAATATTGGTTAATTTCACATTTTTATTTTTAATTATTTATTGAGATAGAATCTCACTCTGTTGCCCAGGCTGGAGTAAAGTGGCAGCAATCTCCACTCACTGCAAATTCCACATCCCAGGTTCAAGCAACTTTCCTGCCTTAGCCTTTCTAGTAGCTGGGATTATATGTGACCCCCCACCATGCCTGGCTAATTTTTGTATTTTTGGTAGACACAGGGTTTCACCATGTTGGCCAGACTGGTCTCCAACACCTGACTTCAAGTGATCTTACCACCTCGGCTTCCCAAAGACCTGCGATTACAGGCATGAGCCACCATGCCTGGCCTCAAATTTTTAGATTATTGTTATAAATAACAATATCATGACTGAAGCATACTTGTGAGTCAAAAGCAAGCAAACCGCAATTTCAGTGGTATGAAAAATGTAGAGAAGTGATGGCAAAAATTACTTATCACTGGACAAAATAAAAATAAAAAAATAAAAAAATAAAAAAATCAAGCCAAAACAAAAATGACTATTTTAACACTCTTCCTATGTTTTTTGAGTTTATTGTTAACTTAGACTCAAGGAATAATATTCAAAACAAATCATTTTTTAATATGTATAAGTACAAGTGAAATTCTGCATGTAGAAAAAGCCAATCAATAAGAAAATTATTGCAAGGGATGACCTTAGAGTTCATCTAGTTCAAATGAAAAAAAAAAAATGAAAAATTGTGCTTATTTTCAATGTGTCAGAAATTCTTTTATAATGTTTTAGTGTTTAAAAATAGAAAAATGTCATAGTATAAGAACTCAAAGTCCCATTAAACAATATATAAAAATGAGATATAAGAATTAATTAATATAATATCTAAGTATTTATGTAAAAAGGAAATATTTCAATACTCAATTGTTAAAACTGACTTTGCTGCTTTTCCTATATTTCCTCTCACTAGTAGTTCAAAGATTGCTGAGTTGCTTTCCTGTTAATCATATAAACCTGAGTGCCTCTCAGACCAAGAGTGCCTGCTTGTTTCAATAGCTCTGTTTGTCTTCTCACCTACAATGCTCCTAAATATTTTTGACTAATATAATCACATGTTAATCTTGGAATTTAGTACATCTTATATATTAAAAAAAATCAGTTTCTGTGTAATTAGTTACTACGCTTTTATGTTAGATTTCCTTGAATTTCACAACATAAAAATAAAAATTTCACAAACAATAGTATTATTTTCAGTTTTTAGATATGCTAATCTCCATGTTTTAATTATTTCTATTAATTAATGCTGTATATATTCTAATTATTTACACCTTTTAAAAAACAAAGACAGTGCAAGGGCATATTAATACAAAATCACTTTTTAAAATAATCCCTTAAAACCAAATACCACATGTTCTCACTCATAAGTGGGTGTTGAACAATAAGAACTCATGGACATAGGAAGAAAACATCACACACTGGGGCCTGGGGGGCTAGGGGAGGAATAGGAGGGGGTAGGCGGATTTGGGAGGGATAGCATTAGGAGAAGTACCTAATGTAAATGACAGATGCAACAAACCACCACCATGGCCTGAGTATACCTATGTAACGAACCTGCACTATCTGCAAGTGTATCTCAAAACTTAAAGTATAATAAACAACAACAAAAAAAGAATACTAAGAAGTGAGGAGAAGACTACCTCCAAACTTACTATCAGATGGTGAAATAAAGAGGGTTTAAGTAGATTCTGCTCACCAATGAAACTGCTGTCAACAGCTCTGAAAGACCCCACTGATACCAGCTGTTCTGAAGGAACCCAGGAGGAGCTGACTCACCAGAGAATGCAGTTTGCACATTCTGATGATTTTATCCCCTTTGCCAAGACCAATCAATGACCCCTATTTTCCAGCCCTTGCACTATATGACATTCTTAAAAATCCAATCCCAGAACTCCTTTGGGACGTAGACTTAAGGGTTTCCTTTCATCTCCTTTCTCCACACCCTGTGATCATTAAATGGTTTCTAATACAAACCCTGCTGTCTCAATGTATTAGTTACTAAAAAGCAGGCATGTATATCTATTGGTCCTCTTAAATTTTAGCCATTGTTTTCCCTCCTGTATCAACAACTGTAGGCCTTAATGCTTTGTATGATTTAGTGCCAAAGGAAAAAATGCATCCAGAGGAGACAGTCAATATTCCACCTCTTTGGGAGCTGAAATACCCATTCACAAATTTTGGACTCTTTAAGAGATGGCTGAATGAGCAGAAAACAGATATTTTACAATGTGTAAAATTGTGGCAGGTGTGAGAGTTCCTGACACTCAGTTGAAAATGGGGTTGTTTCTGAACAACGGGGCATGGAAGAGTAAAATGAAAAAGAGGAGTTTCTCTGGACATATCTTCACACTAAAAAGCCTGTTGACAAAAACCAGATGAAGAATTTGCAATCCAATAGGCAGAATCACCAAGGAGTAAAATTCTTTGGGAGTGATGGGCTGCATATCCTTATCAGATCAAGAACCCTAGCCAGTTATGGTGACTGTCAAAATAAAAGGGAACAAAGAATGAACTTCAGAGAAAATACTTTCCTCAAAATGATCTGACAGAAGTAAAAAATGAAATATTAATTTTATTTACTATTTAAAAATATAACATCATTTCTATTTTCTCTACTTTTTAATATAGGTTGTGATTGTGCTAGTTACATGTATGACTTAATCTCAAAATGTCATGTGATTAATTATAAACTTGAGATGGAAAGTATGTCTTTCAGTGATATAGGATTTAAAGCTATCAGTGATGTAATTGAAGTTATTTCCTCTGGGAAAGACAAATGTGTACAAGACATAATTAGTTGTATGAGGCATAATTACCATATGTATGCTAGGAACATTTTTAGAAGACTGTGTGATGAAAGATATTTCTGGTTATTGGACACCTGAGTATAGCTGTTTGTATAGAAGAGATAATCAATGTTTCAGGTACATAAGACACAAATACCTTTCTATTTGGAGGTTATGAAACAAAGCCTCAGGGGTAGTTGATTTATTATTCACAGTAGCTGAGGGAGCACTGAGATTCCAGCTATAGAAACGCATTTGAGAGTCCGTTAGAGGCAAGCAATCAGTGGAGAGTGTGTTCAGTAGAATACCAAAATGGGTATTTGCTGTGTTCACTGCCTCTTAGGCTTCCTTTCTTTCTGTCCATTTTCCGTTTTGAACTGTCTAGAATTCAACTAATTATTCAAGCTACAAAAACATCTTATGTCATTGTACATTCACTGTTGTGAATGTACATCAGTTGCTTAATGCCAAGAAATCTGACTCTCCATAGCTGTCATGGTTACTTTTAATAGTAGTAGAGCAATACATTATTATTATTGAATTTAATAAAAATTGAAATCAATACATAAACTTCCATTTTGAGCACACATAAAATAATGTTATTCTTTGTGACAATATGTACCATGTACATATCATAATACAAACTGTATTTGCTTTCATTAGCAGGACTTTTGAGCTGTGATATTTAAATCACTGAACATGGTATGAGTAACATGAATGCTTTTATTCTAATTCTTTAGTAAATATATTGCATAATTTGCCAGGGCAGTGGTTTCACTATATAGAGTTTTATAAAATACACCATTTGCTCTAGTATGCCATAGTGTATGTAAACAATAAAAAGATTCACAGAACCTAAAACAAGGAGACAAATCACATAATTAAAAAGAAGCTTCAGAACCTTAGACAAAAGGCACTTCAGACTTAACAACAAGGCAGAAATGTTGCAGAAAATTTTACAGTAATATTTATTGCCATAAGACTAATTTAGTGGTTGTATAAGTCCATTCTGTTTATTTATCATGATTCGGTTGACCGCTTCTTAACATTCTTACTTAATATTGTTTCCTTTATTATTAGTAGCAGTAGTATAGCAATGTATAAACATTTTTATGCACAAAAACTTCTTTAAATAAAAATATTTCAAAGGCAAAATTTTGGTTATTCCTACTAAAATATTGTCTTAGATCAATTTTTTTTGTTTTCTTTTTTAGTGTAATATTTTATTTTTTAATATTTTCTTTAAATTATGTATCAGTGCCTTGTTATCTGCCTTTCCAAGAACAATAAAACACCTCCTTATTCAGTGTTTTATTGATTTAGCTAGAATCAATAAAACATTTCAGAAGAATGTTAGATAATTCTGCCAGTTGAAGGCATAAACCTGTTTTTAAAAAATAATGCCCCAACTGTTCCTGCGCTACTGGTGGCTCCTGCACGTGTGCCAGCTCCTGCAAGTGCAAAGAGTGCAAATGCACCTCTGGAAAGAAGAGCTGCTGTTCCTGTTGCCCCGTGGGCTGTGCCAGGTGTGACCAGGGCGGAGTCTGCAAAGGGGAGTCAGAGAAGTGCAGCTGCTGTGCCTGATGAGGGGACAGTTCTGCTCCCAGATGTAAGTAGACCAACCTGGACAAACCTGGATTGATTTTTTTTTTAATACAACCTGGAACCATTTACTGCATTTCTTTCTCTATTAAATATGCAAGTGACAATAAAAATGCTCATCATCACTCATCATTAGAGAAATGCAAATCAAAACCACATTGTGATACCACCTCACACCAGTTAGAATGACGATCATAAAACATCTGGAGACAACAGATGCTGGCGAGGATGTGGAGAAATAGGAACACTTTTACACTGTTGGTGGGAGTGCAAATTAATTCAACCATTGTGGAAGACAGTGTGGCAATTCCTTAATGATCTAGAAATAGAAATTCCATTTGACCCAGCAATCCCATTACTGGATATATATCCAAAGGATTATAAATTGTTCTATTATAAAGACACATGCACATGTATGTTCATTGCGGCACTGTTTAAAATAGCAAAGACATGGAACCAACCCAAATGCCCATCAATTATAGACTGGACAGGAAAATATGGCAAATATACACCATGGAATACTATGCAGCCATAAAAAGCAATGAGTTTGTGTCCTTTGTAGGGACATGGATGAATCTGGAAGCCATCATTCTCAGCAAACTTACACAAGAACAGAAAATCAAACACTGCATGTTCTCGCTCATAGGTTGGTGTTGAACAGTTAGAACACATGGACACAGGGAGGGAAACATCACACACTGGGGTCTGTTGGGGTGGACTAGGGGAGGGGCAGCAGTGGGTAGGGAGTTTGAGGAGGGATAACATGAGGAGAAATGGCAGATACAGGTGATGGGGGGATGGAGGCAAAAATCCTACATGATCTGCAGATGTATCCCAGAGCCTTAAGCACAACATATATGTATTTGTGTGTGTATATATATATATTATATAAGAATATATATACACACACATGTGTATATATATACATATATATATACGTATACATATATACACATATATACATATATACATATGTGTGCGTATATATATATACATATATGTGTGTGTGTGTATATATATATATATACATATATATATATACCTGTTATAAGAAATACATATATATATATATATATCTGTATTTCTTATAACAATGACACTGAAGAAATACAGGTGTGTAGACATATATATATATATATATACACACACACACACACACATACCTGTATTTCTTATAACAGGTGCATATATACATATATATATATGTATATATATTATGTGTTATATACATATTATGTGTGTATATATATTATATACATAGACATATATATATGTATGTATGTGTGTGTTTATACATACACATACATATATATATATATATATATATATGCCTGTATTTCTTATAACAATGACTCTGAAGGGTGGGATTAGGCATTCCAAGTTCCTTAGAATTATATCATTTTAGTGGGTATGATGGCTTTAGCAGGAAATTCTTTTACAAGTCCAAAGCCTTAAAATAAATGTACGAATAGAAAAAAGAAATGTGCTGTTTTATCATGTTTGGCAGAAGTTTTAGATATGTGACCAGTCATATATTTTTCTGGTTTTTTTTTTCCCCATTTATTTATTTTATTGCATTTTAGGTTTTGGGATACATGTGAAGAACATGCAAAATTGTTGCATAGGTACACACGTGGCAGTGTGATTTGCTGCCTTCCTCCCCATCACCTACATCTGGCATTTCTCCCCTTGCTATCTCTCCCCAGCTCCCCACCCCCCACCGTCCCTCCCCTATTTCCCCCCAGCTGACCCCACTGTGTGGTGCTCCCCTCCCTGTGTCCATGTGTTCTCATTGTTCAACACCCGCCTATGAGTGAAAACATGCGGTGTATTTTTCTTTCCAAATTGGATCAAAATGTATTTCTGGATTTTATTTAATCTGCTCCCAAGCTGCCGCAACCAAACTCCCTCAAATCTCCCTGACACCAAAGACATTTGCCTTTAACTTTGCTTTTGATTTGCAATCTTTCGTTTTGAATGTCAACTACCCAGATTTTGACATGATTCCTGGAACTTACGTATGGTATCATGAAAAACAATCACTTTTTCTTCCTCAGTAAACTTATAGATGTATTTTAAAAATTTGTACCGTTTTAAAATATTCTATGAAACATTTGCTACGAATAAAATCTGCGTGAAAAACTGTTGCATTTTTCCTTTCTGTGTTCAACAGTAAAAAGATGTTCTTGGAATAGAAGGAATCCAAGCTTCTGAAAATCAACAGATCAGCCTTCAGAACTGAGCCAATTTGTCATATTTTACAAATTAATCAATTAAGCTCTTGAAGTAACTTTAATTTTAATGACAACAAAATGTGATATGACTGAATATTAATATCTAGTAAAGGCAGAAGACCTTTCAGGAAATATTCACAATGCCACCAAAAAGAACGAAAGCAACTATTGATATTTAACTTTTTGTAAGCATTTAATTAGTAAATGCACATCATCTTATATCAAGTACAAGATTAAAAGCACCCCACCCCCACTTTCTTTTTAATGAGAACTTGGAGCTATGTCAAGGGTGCATTCCTTGACTTTATGCACCTAGTTGAACATTAAATAATGTGGATCTTAGCTCTGCCTTTCCTTGAGAGTTGATGTCAAAATTCTAATATTTCAGCAAAGACATTGTAACCAATAGAAGGAAGATATTTATATATATTCTCACCATTTTTATTTGATTATATACATATAAGCCAATATTTTCAGATATTGCAATGATTTTTGTTATAAAATATACTTAATTTAGGATAAATTAATCTATTAAAAATCACTTTTACATACCTTAAGACTATTTTTAATGAATATTATGGACATTTTGATAGAAATGGATATATATGATATATATAATCTGCCTATTTCTACATATAAAATACAAGATTTCAAAAAACATTGTGTATTAAAAATGGGAATAGATTATATTAGCTAAGAATGGAATGTAGAAACAGATGGCTTAAGTTTGTGTCCAAGCACTGCATTTAGAAACTCCAGGACTGGAAAAATTACTCCCAAGTTCTGTTGTTTGATCTCCTTAGGTATGTATTTTGGGCAATAATTTTATATCTCTAGTAATATTACTGTGGTTTAAACATGATACTATATATAAAATTATTTTCACAGTGCTTGTAACAGTGATGTCTTCGTAAATATTATCTTTTATAGATTAGTTTGGTTCCTGATGCCTGTTCCTTTAAATTTTTCCTTCTATGTATTTCAGTCTTTTAAGAAAACAAATACACATTTTAAGCTATTTTCCATTTCTGTATCAATCACAGTATTAACTGAGAGTGACTTCATTTTTACCTATAACTTTTTAAATAGATTATGCTCAGTAATTTAATATTGTTGAATTTTGATTGGTACAAGAACGAGCTTTTGTGTTTGGAAAATATTTCATTTCTTCAATGTTCAATTTCTCTGAAGAGTTATTTGAAGGAAAACATTTTTAAAGATTGTAAATTTGTAGATGTTTTAAAGGCTTTTAAGCACTTTCGAAGTCAGAACTATATGCATTTTGCATTGATTTTGGTGATTTTTACCTTACTTTCTTTGGAATTCCCCTTATTAAAGGTAAAATATCATCCAACTATTAGTAACTGGCTAACCACTTTTTAAAACACTTATAAGGATTTTTTGTAATATAAGCCCTTTTTGTTTCAATTCTATTTTTCATAAAGCCAAGCATATAACATAAAACAAAATTTATACTGTTAAATTGAGCAAAAGAAATTTCGGTAGTTTTTCTCTAGTCCTCAGCTGCTCACTGATGTCTGTTTTGTTTGCTTTTGTGACTCCCCTGATAATCTTTTTTTTTTTTTTTTTTTTTTTTTCCCTATTGGTAGACAGTGGAATTGCTTTCCCCTGGCCTTAATTCTGATTTGCCTTGGATTCATCGATTTTTCATGTATTCTGCCTTCCCCTTTAATGCTGCTATTAATACTTCCTTGAGTTACTTTCATGCCAGGTAACATTTATTGATGGTTTATTGTAAGCTACTTATGTACTATCACAAAATCCAATTAAATGTGTGATCATTTACTCTCCAAAGTCCTTTTTCTGTATCAATTCCTGACAAATTGTGCATTGTTCTTTCAAAAGCACTTATTTTTTCTCTGCCTGGAGGAATTCTAATACAATCATTAACTTACAAGTTAGGGATTGCTGCTATATTCTTTATAACTTGCTGTGGTGGGCTGAGTCTGTGTGGCCTAAATACTGCAATAATGGGATTTTTGAAGCAGTTTTATTTTTTCACCGAACTTATAAGTAACTGTCTTACTTTACTAGGCAATTTTAATTATTTGAGATTGCATCACCATGAAGCAAAAACAATAGAAGCAAAATTTACCCAAAATATTGATTTCAGCTGTCACAGAAATAGAAGCCACATCTAAAAGGAGTATCACTGTTCTTTCTGTTTGAAATATTTTCAAGAAATCTATCTTGGTGACAAAATTGCAACAGGGCCAGTGTCTTTGTTTGGGGCTATTACTGAAAGCTGGGGGTAAATGAATGCAAGCTCATGGCAAAACTAGGACAAGTCAAAAACTACCTCATGATTTAACTTGACATTCACTCTCTGTCATCTCTCAACATGATTAAAAACTCTAAATCCTGGTAACCCAGTAGTTTATGGTTCGGTAGAAATATATGCCAAAAGGATATTGAAGGATGTATTTATATATTCATTATTTGTACCTACAATCATTTTAAAATTTACAAATATGTAATAGTAAATTACCAAAATGTGTGGAAAGACAACATATCTAAATAATGTCATAATCTATATTTACATATACAAATAAACAAACATATGTTTAAGTAAATTCACAATTTGTATTTTAGGCTCTGATACTACATTTCCTGAATATTCACTTAACCTGAAAACTCATTTGGGCTTATGGCGAATGAACCTCTTTTTGAGTTCTATTTTACCTTTATCTTGGCCATCCAAAAGAGATATATTTGCTTTTCAAACAAAATTATGCACCAAATCCATCTTAGCATAAAGACAAAGAGGGTGAAGTAATAGTAAACAAAATGGGTGCATTGCTAAAATGTTACTAT